GGGGAGTGGAGGTGGTGGAGGAGGCGTCACCACCGGGAGCGGGAGACTCTCACCCTGAAGGACCTTTACATCCCCTACACAGCACAACACACAACATAGCTTAACAGGGGAGCAGATGCACCAATCTGAAAATTACATAGATAGACGTGGAAGAGAGGTGGAGGTGTGAAATCTACATTGCTACCATCAAGCAGTGCACTCACCAACGGGAAAATGAGTGAAATCACTACCACCATTAAATGCATACATCAAGGTGAAGGTGTTTTACATCTACAGTGTACAGCGGGCCAGGCCATGCATGACACTTTACCTCTCAACCTACCTTAATCCATTACGCACCAGCTTTTGCTTCACAAGCAAATACAAAACAATAGTTAATATACAAATTCTGAAGGACAATGTGTCAGTGTAATGCATGAAGTGTGGCGTCAGTTACCCATGTCAACGTCAAGGAGGGAGGTGGCTGAACCGAGGGGGGCTGGTCTCGTAGTTGTAGACACCGCTATTGGAGAAGTACATTTATTAAGAAATCATATAAATTAAACCTCCTTCTCCACCTCCTCCGGCTTCTTGGCCCTCGCAGCAGCGGCGGCCCCGCGTGGCCCCTTGGCGGCGATGTAGGCCACCGCCTCACCAGAGTGTAAATTTTCAGTTTTGCAAAAACCATTTCTACAATGACAAGAAATGAGACAGCACAGCATTAAAGGAGCATTACAGGTTAAACTACATATTAACTGCTATATTACCAGGAATATCACACATAAGATTAATGATATACTGGTACTACACATTCACTATTGAAACATTACCGTTAACAAACTAACATCACGTGACACAACAGGTAAATAATGAGCCCAGGGTTAGCCCCCTATGCATTGGCAGCCATTAAACAAACAGGCTTATTGTTAATGTATAAAACATACACTTAAACTTTATCTTTTGATTTCACCTGGTGATATTATAATCTTAAGGCTCTAAGGACATTAACTGTATAGTCTTTTCAGAATTTTGTTTTCAGAGATCGTCACATGTTGTAATTACACTGTAGCATCCTAGCTACAGCCCCATTCATTTCCAATGCAATGCTTTCGGAGTGTAAATATGGTTTAAATGTGTAAACAGGACGCCTGACGTCCACGTTCACAAATTATTCCATAATATAACCAGCAAATTAACTATCTTGAAATATCAAAACCAGTGACTGACGGCAAAACGTAATAATACATTGACAAATTCCATGTCAGTAACGTTACATCGTAAAAGTACTCTGGAGTCACAATGTTATATCAGTACATTAATATTCTATCTATTTTAGTTTTATTCACTCAGTCAAAACACGCAGCTGTCTCTACCGGGCTGTCTCTACCGGGCTGTCTCTACCGGGCTGTCTCTACCGGGCTGTCTCTACCGGGCTGTCTCTACCCGGCTGTCTCTACCCGGCTGTCTCTACCGGGCTGTCTCTACCCGGCTGTCTCTACCCGGCTGTCTCTACCGGGCTGTCTCTACCCGGCTGTCTCTACCCGGCTGTCTCTACCGGGCTGTCTCTACCGGGCTGTCTCTACCGGGCTGTCTCTACCGGCGTCTCTCGGCTGTCTCTACCGGGCTGTCTCTACCCGGCTGTCTCTACCCGGCTGTCTCTACTCGGCTGTCTCTACCCGGCTGTCTCTACCCGGCTGTCTCTACCCGGCTGTCTCTACTCGGCTGTCTCTACCGGGCTGTCTCTACCGGGCTGTCTCTACCCGGCTGTCTCTACCGGGCTGTCTCTACCCGGCTGTCTCTACCCGGCTGTCTCTACCGGGCTGTCTCTACCCGGCTGTCTCTACCGGGCTGTCTCTACCGGGCTGTCTCTACCGGGCTGTCTCTACCCGGCTGTCTCTACCGGCTGTCTCTACCGGGCTGTCTCTACCCGGCTGTCTCTACCCGGCTGTCTCTACCGGGCTGTCTCTACCCGGCTGTCTCTACCCGGCTGTCTCTACCGGGCTGTCTCTACCGGGCTGTCTCTACCCGGCTGTCTCTACCCGGCTGTCTCTACCCGGCTGTCTCTACCCGGCTGTCTCTACCCGGCTGTCTCTACCCGGCTGTCTCTACCGGGCTGTCTCTACCGGGCTGTCTCTACCCGGCTGTCTCTACCCGGCTGTCTCTACCCGGCTGTCTCTACCCGGCTGTCTCTGTCGCAGACTGTATAAAATCGGGCTTCGCGTCGGTGGTTTGTTAATGGTTGCTATGCTGGTTGCTATGCTGGTTGCTATGTCAAACGCTCGATAATCCGAGCTGCTGATTGGCTGGCATCCAGAGACCGTTGCTGGGCACAGCTACAAAGTCAGATTTTAAACACATTCAGAGTTTAATAAATGGATATTTTTATTTTATAGAAGCTTATTTCCTCCAAAGTGACGGAAAATAAATAAATAAATATAATGAGAAACTAATATTTAGTTTAACAGTTTTATCTTAAAGTCATTACTTTAATGTTTCTCACTCTAATGACCGACTGACTCAGGCAGAGAGACAGGCAGTGTGCAGAGAGACAGGCAGTGTGCAGAGAGACAGGCAGTGTGCAGAGAGACAGGCAGTGTGCGGAGAGACAGGCAGAGACAGAGAGACAGGCAGAGACAGAGAGACAGGCAGTGTGCAGAGAGACAGGCAGAGACAGAGAGACAGGCAGTGTGCAGAGAGACAGGCAGAGACAGAGAGACAGGCAGTGTGCAGAGAGACAGGCAGTGTGCGGAGCGGCCAGCAGACACACAGAGGACAGACAGACAGGCAGAGAGAGAGAGACAGACAGCTGTTTATGTTACCGGTTCTCAGCCGTTAACCGACCTCAGTCTCGATGGCGGCCCGTCGGTTGGTGGAGGTCTACCTGGACCTGCTGTCGCAGCCCTGCCGGGCGGTCCACATCCTGCTCTCCTGTACCGGGATCCCGCACACCGTCCGGACCGTGGCTCTACGGAAAGGTAACGGCTAACAGGCTAACTGACCGGTAACATGGGTCGGTTACCGGTCGGTTAGCTGGTTCCCTGTTTGCAGCAGCTTCGGTCGTCATTACCTTTGACCCGGAGAACTTTGACCTAGATCAGAGCTCTGATCGCGGCTAACAAAACTCCATTAAACATATGGCTGTTTTTAGGTTTCCTCTTGATATTCGCTTTTATATAATATAAATATTATAATTAGATAAATGGTCGAAGTCTTTTAGCTCTTCTGATAAAATCGGCGTACAGATGAAACCTGGAAGCGGCGCCATGTTTCAGTAACAGGACAGTTTCAGGTTGGATTCTTCTTCTATCGACACCCAGCGCGGCGTTAAAGTGGGAGAAAGTTTACTGAAGTTTGGCAGTAACATTGAACTGAGATTTATTATGAAGCCGAACTGAAGAGGAGGTCTCTTTGTTTCTTGTTAATATCTTTAATAAGTTTATCAGTCTGTGTGTGTGTGTGTGTGTGTGTGTGTGTGTGTGTGTGTGTGTGTGTGTGGAGAGAACAGGACTCCAGAATTCACAAAGTTGAACCCGATGCAGAAAGTTCCTGTAATGGTGGACAACGGCTTCGTCCTCACAGAGAGGTGCGCGCGCACGCACACACACACACACACACACACACACACACACACACGCACACACACATCTCAAAGTCCGATTTGTTATGCTCTTATTTTGGAGGGTTAGTCAATCATCAGTAATCAGACTCAGAGGGTCTAGAGGACTGAGGTGGTTCTGGTTTAGCTCGGTCTGTTTAGGGTCATACCCTGCTGTAAGATCCACCATCACACGGAGGAGGAGGAGGAGGAGGAGGAGGAGGAGGAGGAGTCACTGTTGAGCTGAGCTTGAAGCTGCTGACTGTCAGAACCCTCCTGGTCCTGGTCCTGGTCCTGGTCTTTGGGTCAGACCTCTTCCTGGTCTTTATTGATATTATATATATTATTATTATATTTATATATTTATTGGTTTTATTGATCAACCTCTGTTGGTGCTGAACAGATTTAAGTTGTTTCTTTCTTGTTCCCTGAAAAAGCTTTTTTTTATATATAATATAATATATTAATATATATATATATATATATATATTAATATAATATATATATATATATTAATATATTATACTAATATATATATATATATATATTTTTTTTTTTATATATATATTAATATAATATATTAATATATATATATATATATATTAATATATTATATATATATTATATATATTATATTAATATATATATATATATATATATATATATTATATTAATAATATATATATATATATATATATTATATTATATTATATATTATATACACTGTATCTTTACCTTTCTTCAACCTCTGGAAGTTGATCACTTTATTTTTACCTTTGTAGCATTGAAACTATTTATGGATTTAAACTGCTTTAATTTCATTATTTGTTGTAACACATTTACACTTTATTTATATTAATAATAACTATATTAACCTGTCTGTCTCTCTCTCTGCCTGTCTGTCTGCTGCAGTGATGCCATCCTGAAGTACCTGGTCACCAGGTACGATGTCCCGGAGCATTGGTATCCACGGCAACCAGAGAGACGAGCCAGAGTGGACGAATACACGGCCTGGCACCATAGCAACACCCGACCTCACGCTGCTAGAGTCTTTATACTGGAGGTAGAGACAGACAGGTGGAGAGAGAGACAGAGACAGACAGGTGGAGAGAGAGACAGAGAGAGAGAGAGGTAGAGACAGACAGGTGGAGAGAGAGACAGTGAGAGAGAGAGGTAGAGACAGACAGGTGGAGAGAGAGACAGTGAGAGAGAGAGAGAGGTAGAGACAGACAGGTGGAGAGAGAGAGACAGAGAGAGACAGAGAGAGAGAGAGAGAGACAGACAGACTGACTAATTATTATTAATAACCAGTAATGTCATTAAAAACGACGTGATGTCTCTGTCTCCTCCCGTCTGTCTCCTCCCGTCTGTCTCTACCCGTCTGTCTCCTCCCGTCTGTCTCTACCCGTCTGTCTCTACCCGTCTGTCTCTACCCGTCTGTCTCCACCCGTCTGTCTCAGGTGCTCCTCCCGGCTCAGTCCGGCTCTCCGGTGGACGAGGTGCGTTTGAATCGTGCTCTCTCTGAGCTCGACGTCAGTCTGGACCGGTTGGAGACGGCGTTCCTGCGCAGACAGCCCTTCCTGTGCGGCGATGACATCACCGTGGCTGACCTGCTGGCCGTCTGTGAGCTCATGCAGGTCAGAGCCTCTGATTGGTTTTCTGTGGCTGATCCTCCTCGTGTGGGCGGGGTTTGGTGATGTGGTTGTGGGCGGGGTTTGGTGATGTGGTTGTGGGCGGGGTTTGGTGATGTGGTTGTGAGCGTGCTCGGTGTGTCTCTCTGCAGCCGCTGGGGGGGGGCAGAGACGTCCTGCAGCGGCGTCCTGAGCTGCAGCGCTGGAGGAGCAGAGTTCAGACAGCCGTCGGCGAGTCCTTCGACAGAGCTCACGCCGTCCTGTACGCCGTCAGAGAGCGCCGCAGCGCCAAGCTGTGACCTCACCACAGAGGGGCGGGGCCAAGAGACACCACAGCCTGAGGGAAGGAGGAGCCAATCAGCAGCCAATCAGCAGCCACAACCAGACGAAGATAATGAGGCGACGTTAACAAACCATCACTGATTGATTAGATTGATCAGTTTCTGATGCATAATCAATGTTACTCTGCAGATCAACATCAGACTGTAGATAATCAATAATCAGATTGATCAGCTCTTTAAATAAAGTTTATTTTGTTTATTTACTCGTTAGTCTGATCTGTTGTTTCTGTGTATTGATCTGTTTCTGTGTATTGATCTGTTTCTGTGTATTGATCGGTTTCTGTGTATTGATCGGTTTCTGTGTATTGATCGGTTTCTGTGTATTGATCGATCTACTTTGAGGAATCTAAAATATAAAACATGTTTAAAGTTATTTCACTTTTGTTTACGACATAATTCCACATGTGTTCATTCATAGTGTAAATAAAGAAAAAACATTAAATGAGAAGGTGTCCAAACTTTTGACTGGTAGTGTTTATTAATGAATGAATGAATGAATGAATGAATGAATGAATGAATGAATGAATAAATAATTAATGAATGAATGAATGAATGAATAAATAAATTAATGAATGAATGAATAAATAATTAATGAAACGGACTCAGTGAAAAATATAAAGACTTTATTAGAAACATTATAAACGTTATTTACAGGTTCAGTAGTGGACAGGAAGTCATGTGACCTGAGGAGCGGCTGAATCTGATTGGTCCTCTACAGAGGGGCAGGGGGCGGAGCTTGGCTCCGCTTTGCCGGATGTTCGTCTTCGTGTTCTTCGTCACGTCCTCGTTTCCTTCCGGATGACGCTGGCCCCGCCTCCTGCTGGGGGGTGTGAGTGGATGTGGTTACCGTGGCAACAGCGGCGTCATCAGAGGGGTACATGAGCCTGTGAGCCGTCGCCAACATCCCACGATCCTAAACACAAGCACACACAGTCCCATGATGCACCTGGACAGAGCCTCCCGATGACATCACTGTGACGTCATCAGGCCTACAGATGACATCACACATCACCAGGAAATGGATCCAATCCAACTTTATCTGTTAAGCACTTTAAAAACAACCAAAGTGCTGTACAGGAGAATAAATAAGACATTCAATTATATAATATTATAATATATATATTAGTACTATAATATTAATACTGTAATAATATATTAGTACTATAATATTAATACTGTAATAATATAATATATTAGTACTATAATATTAATACTGTAATAATATAATATATTAGTACTATAATATTAATACTGTAATAATATATTAGTACTATAATATTAATACTGTAATAATATATTAGTACTGTAATATTAATACTGTAATAATATATTAGTACTGTAATATTAATACTGTAATAATATATTAGTACTGTAATATTAATACTGTAATAATATAATATATTAGTACTATAATATTAATACTGTAATAATATAATATATTAGTACTATAATATTAATACTGTAATAATATATTAGTACTATAATATTAATACTGTAATAATATAATATATTAGTACTATAATATTAATACTGTAATAATATATTAGTACTATAATATTAATACTGTAATAATATATTAGTACTATAATATTAATACTGTAATAATATAATATATTAGTACTATAATATTAATACTGTAATAATATAATATATTAGTACTATAATATTAATACTGTAATAATATATTAGTACTATAATATTAATACTGTAATAATATATTATATTAGTACTATAATATTAATACTGTAATAATATAATATATTAGTACTATAATATTAATACTGTAATAATATAATATATTAGTACTATAATATTAATACTGTAATAATATATTAGTACTATAATATTAATACTGTAATAATATATTAGTACTATAATATTAATACTGTAATAATATAATATATTAGTACTATAATATTAATACTGTAATAATATATTAGTACTATAATATTAATACTGTAATAATATATTAGTACTATAATATTAATACTGTAATAATATATTAGTACTATAATATTAATACTGTAATAATATAATATATTAGTACTATAATATTAATACTGTAATAATATAATATATTAGTACTATAATATTAATACTGTAATAATATAATATATTAGTACTATAATATTAATACTGTAATAATATAATATATTAGTACTATAATATTAATACTGTAATAATATATTAGTACTATAATATTAATACTGTAATAATATATTAGTACTATAATATTAATACTGTAATAATATAATATATTAGTACTATAATATTAATACTGTAATAATATAATATATTAGTACTATAATATTAATACTGTAATAATATATTAGTACTATAATATTAATACTGTAATAATATAATATATTAGTACTATAATATTAATACTGTAATAATATATTAGTACTATAATATTAATACTGTAATAATATATTAGTACTATAATATTAATACTGTAATAATATATTAGTACTATAATATTAATACTGTAATAATATATTAGTACTATAATATTAATACTGTAATAATATATTAGTACTGTAATATTAATACTGTAATAATATAATATATTAGTACTATAATATTAATACTGTAATAATATAATATATTAGTACTTTAATATTAATACTGTAATAATATATTAGTACTATAATATTAATACTGTAATAATATATTATATTAGTACTATAATATTAATACTGTAATAATATAATATATTAGTACTTTAATATTAATACTGTAATAATATATTAGTACTATAATATTAATACTGTAATAATATATTATATTAGTACTATAATATTAATACTGTAATAATATAATATATTAGTACTTTAATATTAATACTGTAATAATATATTAGTACTATAATATTAATACTGTAATAATATATTAGTACTATAATATTAATACTGTAATAATATAATATATTAGTACTATAATATTAATACTGTAATAATATATTATATTAGTACTATAATATTAATACTGTAATAATATATTATATTAGTACTATAATATTAATACTGTAATAATATAATATATTAGTACTATAATATTAATACTGTAATAATATATTAGTACTATAATATTAATACTGTAATAATATAATATATTAGTACTATAATATTAATACTGTAATAATATAATATATTAGTACTCCATTCCATGGACAACGGCAGCCTGTCATGGCAGCTCCTTTCATTGTTTTCAGTTTTTTTTAGTTTCAGTGTGTTTTTAGCTATTTTGAACTCTTTTCTTACTTTCTTACTTTGTTCACGTCGCCTAAATACTTTTTTCTACAAACGTGGCTACACGAGCAGATACCGGACTCCATCGTCACCATTCCCGGCTTCCAGACGGTTCGAGCCGACAGGGACACCACCGCGACCGGCATGAAGAAAGGAGGGGGACTGTCCGTGCTCATCAACAACAGGTGGTGTAACGCCGGGTACTCTGTGTGAAAGAGCGTCTGCAGCCCGGACATCGAGCTCATCGCCGTCGGACATTGTCCGTGTTATCTGCCACGGGAACTTTCCAGTGTTATCGCCATCACTGTCTATATTCCTCACAGTGGTCTTCATCATCACTGTCTATATTCCTCACAGTGGTCTTCATCATCACCATCACTGTCTATATTCCTCACAGTGGTCTTCATCATCACCATCACTGTCTATATTCCTCACAGTGGTCTTCATCATCACCATCACTGTCTATATTCCTCACAGTGATCTTCATCATCACCATCACTGTTTACATTTATGATGTCTTATTTATTCTCCTGTACAGCACTTTGGTTGTTTTTAAAGTGCTTAACAGATAAAGTTGGATTGGATATAATATTAGTACTATAGAACCAGTATCAGTACAGGTAGTACTGTAGTATATCAGGTGTACCTGTAACCAGGGGTGCTGCAGAGCTTCCTCTATAGTCATCCTCTTACTGGGATCAACAACGAGCAGCTTCCTCACCACATCCTTTGCTGTCAGCCACACACACACACACACACACACACACACACACACACACACACTGTAGGATTATAATATTACATACACAGTAATATATTACTACAGTAATAAATTACTGTGTATTAGTTACCTTGGTCAGAGATGTGTTTCCACTTGGAAGGAACCATGGTGAACTCTCCCCGGATGATCTGCTCTGTGATCGACTCACGACCAAAGTTCTCGTGGAAGGGAGGGTAACCCCCCAGACTGAGAGACAGACAGGTAGAGAGACAGAATCCAGCAGTCAGACAGACTGAAGCTAATATTAAAGGCCTTTATTCTTTGGAGAGAGATATGTCTCAATATTATTCGTATATGCAAACACCGCAATCCACGCGTATGATAGAATTTGCAAACGCAAAGTCAAAATTTGTGACTTGTAAATTGGTATTTGCTCAAAGGTGTAATGATTTATTCAAATGTTTGGAAACTTGCAAATTAAA